CTGTAAAATGAAAAACTCATGTCCTATTTGTCCGCAGAGCCTCGTACTGTCGATTTCTCCAGGTTCTCCAGGTACAGACGATGGCTCTTTCCTGCTCTGACGGCTACACTCCTCCTGATTCTGATCATAGCTCTGGGAGCCAGCAGTGAGTACACTCAGGACACAATAGGGCCAATAGGGTCACTATTTATTAAAATAGACACCTAAAACACAAGTGTGTAGATTTTCCTGTCTGGCCTGCAGTGCTGTTTATCCTTTTGGACTTTTCCAAGTGTGAGCTGCCCACTTTAGGAGATATTGACTTTAGAGGTGTCTGGCTTCACTTCAGCCACAATATAGTGAAATGATGCTCAGGTTGTTGCTCTGAAGGTGTAAGACATTAATTTGTGGGCAGTGACTGACCCCAAACCAGCATTTTCTTCTTTCTTTCATGAAACTCTTTTCTGTCTACTGTCTCCCTCTATCAACCAAAAGAGTTGTGTTTTTATCTACACAGTCGTCATTTTCCATCCTAATGACCGGAAACTTTCTCTCAGGAACATTGTTCTCAGATACTTGACAGTTTCCTTCTGACTGTTGTCGCCTCTGCTGTTTAAATCCATACAAAATTGGGAGTCTGTTAGGCTAAGATGCTGTGCTAATCCAGAAGACAGATAGCGATCTAATGTTTCACTCACATTTCCTTGATTGATTCTTTATTGATAATGATTTATATAAGGTCATGCATACTTCAGTTGTTCATCTTGATTGTAAAGTGCTTTATGACTCAGCTGGAGGTCCAGTTGATCAGAGCACCACTGCACAGATTTTAACTGGCTCCAACAAATATAAAAACATTTTTCTCGTACTGCCAAATTCTGATGTTGAAATATTGCTAACTGATTTTAAAGCATTCAATGACCTTGCTCAAGATAGCCTCATATTAATGCATGTGCCTATGTGTTTACTTAGAACAGTGAATGGAGCACTGCTGGTTATCCCAAGGTCTCAGCTAAGTTACTGGGCCTTTTGCTGAGAGAGCTCCCAAACTGGGTTACAGTCAGCCCATTGAGGTCAGAACAGAGATCCAGCTCTGTAATTATAAACTACTGCATTATATAAACATGAAATCAGTGTGGAACAGCTGACCCGTATGATGTGTAGAAGAACACAAAACATTTGTTATTGAAGATTCAGTTACGGTGCCATATCAACAAAACAATGACCTTTAAAAAAAACTTCAGAAAGCCTGGAGAACAATAGTTCAAGCTTTTTAAAAGATTACAGAAAGGCTGGCTCCGTGGAGGCAAAAGATAAAGAAAGCAATGTGTACCACGCCATAAACAGTTAAGCAGATGTAAATAATGAGATCACATAATAAAATGAACAACAACAGTAAGTACTTTTATGTAATGGTGAGAATATTTTTGGTAATGATTTGAAGAAAATAATTATTATTTTATAATTTTTTTTTTATGTCTGTGTGTTTGCAGACACGTCAACATGGAACCGGCTGTGGTCCTCGGAGAAAAGTGTTTCTAATCTGACTGAATCACTGAGGGACACACAGCAGCTCACCAAAGGTAGCTCAGATGTACTCATACTGTGATACCAACTGCTGGGTTTTTTGTCTTTTTCACACTTTAGTTTCCCGTCCTTCTACCACAGATACAGCAAAAGAAGTTTTGTCAATGAAGTTTGCAGTGGAGAACAACAAGGACCAGCTGGCATCAGGTGGAAACTCTGCAGAGCAACACTGTAAACACATCGACACTAGCAAGTGGTTTCATTAACATACCTGTACTTTGTGTGTGCAATCCATCAGTATCAGAGGCACTGAGGCAGCTCTCAGCTCTGGACGCTCTCCGCAGGACGGTCGCCGAACTCAAATGTTCTTTAGAACGCTTGGTCAACAACGGTACACAGCTCCTGTCTAATCCTGTTCCCTCTGCTTCATTTACTAAAGATGCCCTCACAGTTTTAAGCTTATAGAACAGCTTTACTGTTACTAAAAAAGAAGCCTGTGTATAAATGTGCCTTGGTTCATTGGCCCCCAAGTCATTTATCTCTGAGTCTGAGGCATCTGATGAGCTCAGACTAACTTCAAACACCTGCAGGCATTACTGGAAGGTTTAAACAGCTTCTTGAAGCTAAAAAAGAAAAGAAAAATTCATGTTTCTTTGTATAAACTGTAACAAGCTAAGGCAGAAAGGTTTTGTCTCTCTGGGGGGAGCGAGGTCTTATGAGGAAATTAGTAACTAAATCGTGTTATTTCCTAATTTAAGATTTGTATTAAGCTCTCCAATTGTTCCATTTGTTTATTATATTTATTTGTTATTATTTGTTTGGCCGTTTTTTTTTTTAGAATTTTCTTAACCATGTGATTGTGTGCTTTCATCCACTGATCTTTTTTGAAAAGGATGATGTTAATCTCATCATATTTCTTGACTAAAAATATGTTTTTCTAAAACTAGTTCTCACAGCGACTGTCTAACATCTCCTAGGACTGTCCCCTGTTAAAGAAGGTCTCCAATATCTAAAAGTGTATTTTTGAAATGACTCTTATAAAACATGGAAACCAGACACGCTCTGTCTGTCCGTCTGTCAGGCACGACAGCACACGGCTGTTGTCCTCTGAATTGGGATTCTTTCGGCACCAACTGCTACTTATTCAGTACCACGCCATTATCGTGGCACGATGCCAGAGACTGGTGTAATGGACACGAATCTCACTTGGTCATTCTTCTCACTGACGAGGAGTGGGTGAGTTGGCTGTCCCTCTCATCTGTTTGCACTGACGCTCAACTCTGTGATGCAGCTTAAACACACTGTCACCTCAACAGGAGCTCTTTTGTGACGAGCTAATCAATAAAAGCCGAACTATAGCTCATGTATGTGACTGAAAAGGGGAGGAGCCTGTATTGATCCTTGATTGAAACTGAAAATTAGAGTTTTCTCTCCGTCTGCCTTTAACAGGATTTTGTGACCCAGCGTACTGTGGGCTCCTTCCACTGGGTGGGTCTGACTGATGAGAGGACTGGGCAGTGGGAGTGGGTCAACCAGACACCCTACATCATGAACCGGAGGTAAGCTGTTACACTTAAAAAAACAAAACAACTGATGGTATACATGCAAGAAAATGAGGGGTTGTGTTTTTTGTAGTGCCAATTAGGAAGAGAATGTAATTGTTCTGCCCATTACTCATGCCGGTCTCTTAGACTACCAATCAGGTGGAACAAGATAACCTTCCTAGCACACCTGATCATTTCTCACAGCACACCTATGTGCCATGACACAGTGGTTGGGAAACACTGCCATAAGGAAAACAATAGTGCTACATGATAGTACATAACCAGTGTATCAACCATTCAAAGGTAATCTTGCTACAAGATTCCCTATATTTAGACCAGCCATGAATGACCTCAGTCACACAGGCCTGGTGTTGGTTACTAGGGGAAAAATGGGTATTCCCTGAGTAGTTGGTGAGCAGTTACTACGGGCTGATAGTTACTTTGAAATTGGTTGCTAAAGCAGCGCCCTCTTTGCAACCACTTCACTTCTAGACAGCAAAGAGAGGCCTTTAGGATGCTGATGTTTTGTTTGTGTAACCGGTTTCTGCTTCATCCCGCTGCAACAGTTCAGCCCAGACTCCTCGACTCTGCGTTGTGTTGTGTTTTTTAAAAAGAGAAGGAGTCTCTGATCGATCGTTGCCACTTTATTTCCTGAATGGAAACAACGGTGTTGTATCAGTGCAAATGGCTCGCCACACACCACTCCGCACAGCACACTACGGCAGAACATCCCATTAGCATTCCGCTTTAGCATACAGTTTCACACGATAATAAACAAATGAAAAGTACATAAAACTGGTGTTAGACATGTGTCCACTAAGCACTTATTACACTCGGTGCCCATCAGCTAATCAAACATGTTTTATGTGTCTGTACTACTTAGCTATATTGTGTGCGGAACAATACAACTCACCTCTCGTATGGCTACGGCAGACTGGCAGCGATTACTGCAGCCAGCCTCACCTAACCAGCCACACTGAGAGGGGGGGGCGCTGTTTCCCCATGACACTGACATTTGTGGCAAGTGGAATAATACCACATAAACACTGTTACATTTGTCTGGGGGTTTTTTTGCTAAAGGCACCACAGTCCAAGTATGATGAACCTTTTGTTAAAAAAGATGTTTCTTTTGGGGGGTTTTTTCTAATTGGGCATATTTCTAATCTTTATTCTTGTTCATTTTTAAACACTATTAGGTAATTAATCATGAGTAAAATATCATGAGTCAATATTATCAGGAAACCATCTGCAACATTTTCTATTTACAGTTAATCCAGAATCATTGTGGGACAATGATTTTTAAAGAATACTAATTGTAGAATGAATAGATTTAATAGACGTTATACTCAGTCCCATCATCACTATCATTATGAGCTTCAGGAAAAACAAAGACACCCTTTTTTCCAATATCAAAAGTTATGAAGTAGCGAGGGTGTCCTGCTTTATGTTTATGAGGAGTTCACATTACCTCACATGGTCTTTTTAAAGGCACCTACAAAGAGTATGTCACACATAGTACGCAAAGGACAAAAGGAAAAGTGTCCAGAGAGCCATAATCATGGAAAATCATCAGACATCAACGTTAAGCGGCATCTTCGGGACTACCACTTCCTCCTCAGCTGTACTCGCTGCTGACATCTGAAAGTCTTTTTGCAGGACCTTCATAGTCCAGGCAGGAAAAAACAGCCTCTTCATTTTGTTGCTGAACTGAAGTCCCAGTCCTCAGGCACTTCATGTCACAGCTACATTATTATAATCTCAACTATTATATTTATATCATACTGGTCGTGCTTATGTGTGTTTGGGAATAACTGTAACTACAAATATCCAAAACTTGATTCTGTTCATCTGGACGTAGCGTTTTCAGTGGGAGAAACGTTGAACAGAATCAAGTTTAGGAGATTTCCTTACCTGGATGATTGAGCATGCATCAAGACATAACTATAAATAGTTATTTGGCATTATTGCGTTTGTGTTTGAGAAATTCTGTGCGCATTTTCCCATATAGTTCATTGTATGAGCTGCAAAAATGTTTATAGCGGCTGTGAAGTTGGACTTTTTACCTTGAAAATTTGTGGGAACTGAGTGATTGCTGGAACGAGCCTCAATTGGACATTAGAGGAACTGCAACTTCACGTGCTTTGACGCTGGCTTCTCTTGTCTGTCATGGTGGTTGCAGCTCACCTTAAGACTCACTTTGTATCATTCTTTTGTAGGAGGTGGAAACCTGGGCAGCCTGACGCCTGGACCCATCATGGTCTCGGTCCCGGGGATGAAGACTGCGCTCATCTTCATTCTGATGGACGTCTTAACGATCTGCACTGCTCCAGCAAAATGCGCTTCATCTGTCAGAGGCACACCATGAAGAACTAAACTCAGATGTGAGCTGTGAGCTGACACCATTGAATAGTGTGATTACAAGCTACCAGAATGATCTGTTTCTGGTGTGCTGAGGGAAAGGTCATTAGTGCTTTGCAGTTTGTATGTTGTATCAAAATCTTGATGTACCTAATTTTCCAGAACTCCACTGGTGTCCAAAAATCTAATAAAACACATCATCAATTTCCCTGAAACCTTCCTTCATTATCCCGAACAAACCAAGAGATTAAAAGTTCTTTAAATAGTTCTTTGAATTCCTGAAAGAGTAGCCCTAAAGGAAAACTCTCCATGTCCTAAAAAAGGTATGGTTTCACAGATCAAGTGTTTCTTAAGCCAAGTCACTTCTGAGAATTCCTTAATTAAATGATCAGGTTCCTTAAAAAAGTTTTGAACTTGAAGTGCATTAAAAAAGCTCCCAGGATTCTTGAAAAAGTCCTCGAGTTAATGGATCATTATCTATGTTGCAAATGTGGAGAAGAGAACTTGCAGTAATTTGCTTTTCACAGAGCGACATTTAAATTTATGCCTGCACATTCAGACTTGAGATATGAAGCATCATACCTGGGGTGGCTGTAGCTCAGGTGGCCGAGCAGGTCAGCCATTAATCAGAAGGTCAGTGGTTCAATCCCAGGCTGCCTCCTAGCTGCATGCCAAATATCCTTGGGCAAGATACTAACCTTGTTTGCCTACTGGTGGTGGTCAGAGGGCCCGGTGGCGCCAGTGTCCGGCAGCCTCGCCTCTGTCAGTGCGCCCCAGGGCAGCTATGGGCAACAATGTAGCATTGTGAATGTGTGTGTGTGAATGACTGAATGTAGTGTAAAGTGCTTTGGGGTCCTTAGGGACTGAGTAAAGTGCTCTACAAATGCAGGCCATTTACCATACCTATGTTTTAATGTTGGAGGAGTCTCCTACACTAAAGAAATAAAACAAAAAATGCCATCCTCACTTCAAGACTTCTCTCCAGACATGAAGTCAGGGCTGTAACATATGAAAACATAAACATGTAGTAAAGTCCAAAGAAGGCCATAAAACTTTAGTCTAAAGTAGGCATTGACAGCTGAGGTACACAGTTAACATTATAGGGAAAACAGTTTTTAAGATGACTCAAAATGTAAAATACTGTAAAATATTTATTTGAACATGGATTGTGTCCATTTAAAAAAAAAAATGTCCTCATTATAGCGTATTTAAAACAACAACTGTTGACCAAAGTGCTTTGCATTTAAAATCATCAAAAGAGATAAAAACATTGTAAGAAAGGAAGCATAAAATTAGAATTTGTTTATTTTTCATTTCCTACTTTTTTGCTAAGTGTTCACATTTTTGTACACTGTATGGGGTTATGGGCTACAGTCTAAATGGCTTAGATCTGTCTTGGCTGACTTAAAACATGTTGGTTCTACAGCCACCATCATAGCTAGGATTATGAACTTGAATTGGGAACTCAGCTGTCTGCAATCCACTGACATCTAGGGGTGAACATGTGACAACATTTAAAGAAGTTCTCAAGTTAATCAGAGTTAATTTAGGTTTTCAAGATTAAGTTACTGAGAAAAATTCAAAAGGTTCTTACAGAAATTCTCTAGTGGTTTAAAAAGTTCTCAAAGTCCTTAAAAAGTTCAACAGTTAATTAAATAAGTCTAAGTTCTTATACGGAAAATTTGAGAGTTCCTTAAAAAAGCCCAGGAATTTGTTAAACAAAGATGAGTTCCTACAAATGCCAAAGCTATTTAGGAAAGTAATCAGGCTCATTAAAGCGTGTACTACATGTTGGTACATACTGCTGAAGTAGTTCGAAACACTGACAACTTTATGAAGGTAAAACTTTTTTACCTCCTTTTTCTTATATTTCTTCTTCTGAACAAGGTTCAAGCTCTCCTCCATCAGCACCAGCCACAACTGAACTAACTCTTTAAGTCATCATCCAGTCATTGTGGTTTTGTCTTTTCCAATCAGTTTATTTTCTGTTTCCAGACGAGTTTTTATTTGTGTCACTATTATTAATGTTAATGGTTTTTGTTTAATTATCAATCTCATCATTATTATTTTACAGAAGGTGTTGGTCAAGGCCATGTTGAGGAATACCAGAATAGAAACTGCACTTTATGAACTCAAAGTGATGCAGACCTCCCAATCCTCAAAAAAGATAAATCAAATAACCATAAAATAAAACTACACATCTGTGAGATGATTTAAAGAAGTAGATATTCAGATGATCCATGATGGGTTTGAAGATCCAAGAAACTGGTAGTGGAAGAAACACAAAAAGCACTGGGAGATAAATTACTGCTGTCAGTGAGAGAAAACAGCTTTTTAGGGAGTTAAAAACATCAGTCAGACAATACGGCCACTGAAACATTCACAAGGGAGACATTTTATTGGGATGTTAAATGAAATATATTTGCTTGAAGTATAAAAACTTCACATGTGTAGAAATCCAAAGAACATTCAGTGAAGAACAATGTTTCCATACTACAGATACAATGTACCAAGCTGTGAATCCAGGAAAACAAAAGTTTATCAATGTTAACAAAGCGGTTTGGCATAAAATAAAATATAAAATATAATTTAAAGTTATTAAATGCTTTTTGTTGGCAAGAACAGAAAACAGGTAAACAAAGACAGGATTTCAGAAACTCTATGGACCTGACACTGTAGCACAAATGTTAATCCTATTTCAAAGCCTCCTTCAAAGAAAACACACTGAATGTAACAGTGAACACTTTACAGAAATTTCACAGTAAAAAGGCAGAAAATACCACAAACAATGAAACAGCAGCAACAGCAGTGAGAAGCAAAGAAAGTAACCACATTGCATTAATCGCCACATCAGCTCTTCTCTCCTTATACTTAAATAAGTTAATTTCTAAAGTTTAAAAAATGTTAAATATTATGTCACAGTCCACAAGAGGAAGATGGGGGATAAAATAAGGTCATAAATCTCAATTTTAAGGGAAGTGAGAAATAATTTTACACTGTAAATACAAAATGGTCCAAACTGAACCGTACAAACATGAACCAACACAATCTTAGTGTATTATTCAAAATAAAAGCAAAATTAGGCTTAAAAAGGGACTTTTAAACCTAATTTTACCCTAAACAACAACACTTTTAACTCTTTACCTTCTTCTATTAAGCTTATGAACCCTGCTATACACATTTTATTAATACCTCGATATATTACTGCACTTTTTGAGTACTTTGATGAAGTGGTACTACAACTCCCAGCGTCCCATCAGCATTTTGTAAATAAGAACAATGAAAAAAAGAGAACAGCAATAAAGTGTACAAATTTGTCACTGAAGATGTTACAATGTAGTTAAAATTAGTGTAAAAAACTACAACTCTCAATACTTACAAATACTAGAATTTTTAAGTGTGTATACTACAGCTCCCATCAGGCATCAGTTGGTCAGCTGAAAGGCTCTGCTTAGGACGAGTTCAGTTGTAGCTCCACCCAGATGACACGCCTCTACAATGCACACCAGCCTCTGATTGGTCAGCTGGGACGCCATAGCGATAAGGTCACCTGAGAGGCAAAGAGAAGACCCTTTACTGTCACATCTTTGTGTGTGAGATATGCTCCATGGGAACGTATCTAGTTTGTGAGGACATTTCTGAATTGAGAAGATATTTCTGCTTTGTGGGGACGTGTGGGGAGCAAAATATGGGTGTGTGTGGTTGGAGGATGTGT